ACGCCACGTCGAGGTGCCCGAACCCGCCTGCCCGTATATGTACCTAAATGTAGAATGTCGTGATTATTTGTCCTTTTCGTTAGTTTTTTCAATTTACGCTCACTCCTTAACATTTTCTATTTTTTCTCTTTTTCTTCTTTTATTTTCAACTGTTGCCATTTGACTTCCGGTTTTTTAGACATATACTATCGCTATTAATTCTTGAGTGCTGTACAGTTTTCTTGAGGGAAATTGTATTTTTTTTTTACATATATAGTTAATTTTAATGCCTAAGTAATAAAGTAAATATTTATATATGTCTTCACTTGGCTATTTTTTCTTTTTCTTATCTGATTATCTTAAGTACTATTAGGATATCAAATGTAGGATGTTATGTTTATATTTAAATTTCTATTTATCATTGTTTGAATTTGTATGCATATGCTTATATTCATATATTTACGTACACACACACATGCATATACGTGCATATACATATATTGATATACACGCATGAACTGTTATGTATAATAAAGGGTTGTCTCCCCTTGTTTTGTTACTCTTCCTTTTGAGAGAGCTATTTCTGTGTACTGTGACTATAAAGTTGAATAAAGCTTTCTTAAAGCCTACATCTGCGTACTTTTGACATTACACACACACACACACACACACACACACACACACACACACACACACACACATATATGCATAGAAACGTGCAAACATAAACACATGTACACTTGTGACTGTTTTGTTATTAATATATAAACTAGTGTTTAAATGGTAAAGTGATTTTTATCCATATTTTTGTTATATATATATGAAATTATTATTATAGAAAATAAAATTTATTTTAAAAGTTATTTTATTAAAAAAATTAAATTTATTTAGATTACATTAAGGTAAAAAAAGGCATGATGGAGTAATGGATAGCGGCTCGGATTGAGGAATTGGAGAGCCGAGTTCGAATTCCAGTCGAATCACATTCACTTACGTGCTTGGGAAAGGTATGAATCGTCTTCTTCTCCCTCCAGCTATGGGTAAATAACAGAACAGACTGGGTTCTATAGCTGCCTCGTTACTCATGTATCAAAAGATACATGATCGCCTAAGCTTGTATCGCGCATGGCACATAACTGACTGGAGGTAAAAACACAAGCCGAATGATTAAACTCTGAAATAAAAATACATAAGGTATCTCCACTAATTTTCAATACCTTGGTTTAAAATGAATTTTTATAAATGAAAAAGTTTTCTTGGAGCTTTCATTTTAGCTTTAATTGAAAGCTAAGGGATTATATTTGCTATTTTCAGTAAGCAAAATACTCTGGTGTATTCCAAACGGAAATTACATTGATTGGAATCAATTTGGGGGGGGATTTTTTCATCGCAGTGTAATTCTCTGTATTAGAAATATCTTCCAAAAATCAAATATACTTTCTGAAATTTTATTTGAGGAACAATAGCTGATTTAAAGTACAATTCATCTGATTTGAAAAACAAAAATTACTTTACGTTTAAAATAACAAAGAAATGGATTTTTAAACCAAACAGTAGCGGTGATTACTTGCTTGTCATCGGTCATCAATCACAGAACAAGTGCTGATAAAGGTGTTGACAGATATATTGCTGTTAAAACATAATTTATGAAAATGACGGGAGTGTCCCTTTTTTAATATTTAAGTACTCAGTAATCTTAAAAAATTGGAAAATATTCTCTGCAATCTAATTTTAGGGATATTGACATTAAATTTACTATAGTCATTGTTCTTATTGTCTAATTATGTCGTGTATGGTCGACCATACTTCCAAAAATGGTACGTTACATAATATTTTATATACATAAAAAAATAAGAACATTATTTAAAAAATCTTGGTGCTAAAATGATTTTTATTAAGTTTTTAAATTTTTGATTAGTAAATATAGTTTTCAGTTAATAAAAATATCACTTAACGAGATGAAAGTCATGCCGAATTTTAAAATTTTATATATTATAAAGTATTATAATTAAAATAAAAAAGTAATTATTCATCGATATTTTTCTTAAGACAATAATGGTCTTAATAAATATTATTTATAACAGCAAATGAAAACTTTTCTAATGAAATAATATCATAGTTTTATTGCATGTTTTATTTTGTGATTCGGAGCAGATTTTCGGGAAATGTGTAGTAGTTTGAAAAAAAAAATGATGATTTACATTCTCCAAGGAGTCCTACTTTAAAGAATAAAAAAATATTCGGATGAAAATTTAATTTCTCGAAATTTCATGAAATTAATTTAGTTGTAACATATATATATATATATATATATATATATATATATATATATATATTACCAAGATTTGCTAATGAGTCATAAAAGTTAAATTTAAATCCGACAAAAACTAATTGTATCCTCTTAATAATAACATGAACATATTGCGATAAAACTTTGTTTCATTAAATTTTGGGGCTTATTTATAATGCTATGCTTTCTTAGCGAAAAAAGTGGAGACACCTAAAATACTTCATACTAAGAAACGTGCATTCGGAGGATATATATATATATATATATATATATATATATATATATATATATATATATATAACTATTTTTCTTTGATTTATGTTTACAAATTTCCTTGCGGGTCCCAACCAGCGACCTAAGGTCAGAAATGGCTTCAAAGATACATTCCAGTCTGTATGGACCGTCATGCCAATAAAAAAAACCATATTCTGTTCATTAATATTTTTTATTTCGTTTGATTTCTGATGTATACTCATTTCTCTCCAGGTCCCGACCAGAGACCTAAGGTCAGAAATGGCGCCATAACATTTCCCACTTATCAGAGTTTTTTTTTTTTTTTTAAATCACACATATTATACATAGATAACGCCCTTCGGAAGGTCTGGGCTGTACTTGTGAGAACAATGTTTTATATTTCTTTAAGACATAGGGTACTAGGAATCCCTCATTGAATCTATTGGAATCTTTTCTAATCAATCCAAGGGCTCCAATTACAACTGGAATTGTTGAAGGCCTCATGTGCCAAATTTTTAAGATTTCGATTTCAAGGTTCTTGTATTTTGATAGTTTTTTTAAAAAACATCATCAAAGATACATGACAGTCTTGCCATGTCAATAAGGAGACATATTTTATCTTTTAATCACGATGTCTGGGCGATTAGCCTTGATTGTTCCGTCTGCGTGTATTATAAAGTCCTATAGAGGTCCTATGTCTGTAGCCGGGTCTGGTGGTGTTCATACCAATTTCTTGCAGTTTCCTTTCCGTAAAAGTTTCAGATTTTCCTATGCCCATTCTGCCATGCAGAGATTTATATTCAGCTATTGCCAATACCGCGCAACCTGAGAAGAGATGGTCAATTGCTTCTGAATAACTGTTATATTCCGTGCTAATAGGAATATATACTTGACAAATACGGTGGATAAAGTAAGTAAAGGTTTATTGTAGAAACTAGTACAAAAAAATAAAGACAACAGTTATGCACAAGGTCGTCGCAAATCAATCCAGTAGTTGAAGGTCAGTAGTTGTCGCTTAAGTCTGAGTCGTACTAAACAGATCCCAGCTAGAAATATATACCAACCTCCCCACGAGGTAGGATGAGACTCTGCCCTTCGGAATAGCCTCGTCCGGGTTCCTCTCTGTCCGAATGCAGAGAGTTCGCTAACAGCTAACAGCCGAGTAACAGATCCTAGTTAGTGTATCGAGAAACTGTTCCACGCAGTTTCATGTGGCACAAGGCCGAATTTAATGTGGGGTTCCCGAGTCCGTACGTTTGACCAAAAAATCTCCGTAGACCCCGCATAAACGTGATCGGGTCGGTCTACCTCCCCGAACGAGACTCTGCCCTTCGGCATAGCCTCATCTGGGTTCCTTTCTGCCCGAAGGCAGAGAGTTTGACAACAACTGAGAGCTGTGTAACAGAATCCAGTTAGTATATTTAGCTACCCACCCACGAGGGTTGCATGTGGCACAAGGCCGGTTTAACGTTGGTTGTACGATCCCGTAGGCTCGGCCAAAAATATTCCCTTTTTGAACCCGCATAAACGGATTCAGGGGTATTCTACCACCCCGAACGAGAGTCTGCCCTTCGGCGGAGCCTCGTCCGGGTTCCTCTCTGTCCGAAGGCAGAGAGTTCGATTAGTTAGCTGGAACAGACTTACAGATACTTATAGGAAGTTACTTTCCTATAGTATAGTCACTCATGCGGGTGACAGATCATTACGTCAGTAACAGAATCTGCATTTTGGGCAAACATAATTTTTCAACATGTGTGCTTGGTAATTTCTACTTAGCAAGCATTGGTCTTGTGCTGCAAGAATAAAACCTTCCATTTCAGCTTTTAACCCTGCACTACATCGACACTGAGGGGTACAGGGTTTGTCTGCATCAGCATGTTAAGTACGAGCATGAAGTGGTTTATCTTGCCATCATTTCTGTATCTGGCCGGTTGTATTTGTCTATCATTATTATTATTATTATTATTATTATTTTATTCGATGCGCCTATATTTTATATTTAAGTAAAAAAAAAGAAGGTAATTTTAGTGTAGTTTATGGAAATTGACAAATACATTATAATTTTAATTAGAAAAAAAAATCTTTCTGCATACCAGACAAACTGGTCAAATATTTTTATACCTCTATCGACCAACTTTTATATAGTCATTGCGATATAAATATTGATTAAAAAGTTTATTTAGATTTTTTTTCAGCACTTCGTTTAATTATTATTGGTTTTCTCCTGACCAGCGTTAAATTTTACTTCAATTACAAGCCAACCATTTGGCGCAACAACATCTTCACAGATTCTTCCTGTTTGTAAACAGAGTCATGTTTGTTTTTTTAGTGTTTGTCTGGTGGAGAGATTTGACCTTGATTTTTGCCAATTTAATTGCTGCCAAGCAATAATAATAATAATAATAATAATAATAATAATAATAATAATACTAAAAGAAGAAGTAGGAGAAGAAATATTATTTGACTGGAACGGAAGTTTTGAAGAACATTCTAAAAGTTCTTGACCTTCTCTCCCTCTCGTTTCTCTTCGTAACCCACTCCTTTTTCAGTATCTTTATTTTACCATCCTCTTTTCACTCCTCTCTTTATGCCAGTCTATCTATTGCTACATCATCTTCAATGCGTACTTTTCTGTTCTTACTAGATTTTCACTACTGTTAACTTGCAATGAACCGAAAGAGGATTTATTAAAAAGAAAGAGGATTTATTAAAAGAAAGAATGGGAATAAAAGTTGTGTGTGAATAAAGAAGAAAAATGAAATAAACGGAATAAAAAATTTAAAAAGGAATATTTTTAAAAAGAGTCAAAGATTATAGGACAAAACCAAAATAAAAAAATGGTGGAATGTTGAATAGGAAGATTATTTTCTGCTAATCCATAACGAGTTCGTATGAATGGAGGATAGAACAAGACAAAAGAGGATGGCAAACGATTAAAGTTACTTAGGGAAACAAAAGTCAGGAATATATGGACAGCCATGATCACGAACGCCCTGAATGGCCATGGCACATGAAACAAGTTTTCTCTTGTTTCAACGTGTTGGATCGAAAATGAGGCACCAAAATCAGAACTTGTATTAGCAAAAAATGTATTCCAAATACTAAGCAAATTCCTAAGAAACGGTAAAATTTAGTTAGAAACAAAGAAAACGGTGCTGAATTGCTATCTGATATCAATCCTCTTGTATGACAATGGGCGCTAGGATCTGGAAATAAAAGAAATTTGGTTCTACAAATCCAAAGAAGAATGTGAAATGCTATTGATCCTGACCTGGCACCAGGATTCAGTCATTTTCTCACCATCATAATGTGAGTTCCCTGACCCTTTTTTTTTTTATAAATACTTCCATGGTAATTGTTTGGGTAGACATTGCCTCTTATTTTGGGATTTCATTTTTAAAAGTTGTTATTTTTATCCTCCCACCCAGACAAATTGTACATATGGGAAAGAATTAGGATTTCATAGAGACATTGAGATATTGGTTAAATATTCAAATGTAATCGACATTTTTTGATGCCTTGTCAATTGCCATCTTCTGATGCCTTGTCAATCGCCATCTTCTGATGCCTTGGCAATCGCCATCTTCTGATCCCTTGGCAATCGCCATCATCTGATGCCTTGTCAATCGCCATCTTCTGATGCCTTGGCAATCGCCATCTTCTGATCCCTTGGCAATCGCCATCATCTGATGCCTTGTCAATCGCCATCTTCTGATGCCTTGGCAATCGCCATCTTCTGATCCTTTGGCAATCGCCATCATCTGATGCCTTGTCAATCGCCATCTTCTGATGCCTTGGCAATCGCCATCTTCTGATCCCTTGGCAATCGCCATCATCTGATGCCTTGTCAATCGCCATCTTCTGATGCCTTGTCAATCGCCATCTTCTGATCCCTTGGCAATCGCCATCATCTGATGCCTTGTCAATCGCCATCTTCTGATGCCTTGGCAATCGCCATCTTCTGATCCCTTGGCAATCGCCATCATCTGATGCCTTGTCAATCGCCATCTTCTGATGCCTTGGCAATCGCCATCTTCTGATCCCTTGGCAATCGCCATCATCTGATGCCTTGTCAATCGCCATCTTCTGATGCCTTGGCAATCGCCATCTTCTGATCCCTTGGCAATCGCCATCATCTGATGACTTCATCTTGATCCTTGTCCTTTACATCACTCTTTACTCTTATTCTCATTCTCTGTAATCTATTGTATGCTACTGGCACACCCGCCTTGCTTAGAGTGAAATGCTTGAAAATATATATATATATATATATATAATGTAATACTAAGTTCTTTTCTAAAAGTCTATTTTCGTGCACTTCTCGCTTGTGGAACTCTCTTCTGGCTTCTTGCTTTCAAGCCAACTTTGATCTTCAAAAATTTAAATGCAATGTCAATTGTTATCTATTGTTTTCTATATTCCTATTCTTATGCTGTCCTCGCTATGTTTTTCTTATTCTTCTCGACTCAGTAACCCTTTGTGTCTTCGTGGCTTTATTGCCTGGCTTGGGGTGAAATGATAAAAAAAAAAAGAAGCCTCAACATTTATTCAAAGATAACCATTTACTGAGTATTGTTTTACAAATAGAACAAATTTTATGACATTTTTAATACCAGACCATAACCCCGAACCGATAACCATTCACCAATGAATAAATAATTCAAGTTATACTCGGCACCCATGGGTAAGCTTAGTCTGGCACAAGGCCATCGTGATAAGGTACTTTTGATCGAATACTTTGATCTGGAAAACTGCCAAGAAAAGCTTGCTATATATATATAGGCTCCCTAGTTTGGTTATATATATATAACTGCCCTAGTCTGGCAAAAGAACACTTAAAAAACGAAACAATCAAGTTGGGGCACTTAAAAACCGAAACAATTAAACCACTAATAAATGACAAGCTCAAACATACTATTTATCTTTACCAAAGTTATAGCTATTTTACTTAAGTCTGACTCATGGAAATGGAGCATTTAGTGACGATCGAACTATTAACTCTAATAAATTGGTATACTAAGCCCAAAATTCTATCCTCTCTATAGCAGTGACCGCTCATCTCTCATTTAACCTTTTAGTGCCTATTGTGCTACTAGTGGAACATATTTTAAAACTTTTTTAAACGAGACAATCATTAATTTAGATTATTTTATCGATAATATACATGGAAAACACTAGCATAAAATATGCTTATACATCGTGTTAAAATATAATAAATGCTCGTTTGATATTTAAAAATTAAATGTTCCATTTGTGAAACATTGGATCCTAAAATTCTGATTATTACTAAGCTTCAAGGATTCTTCTTATGATTTTCTAATCAACATAAGGGAAATAAAACCTGTAATTAGCAGTTAATACAGCTAGAGTTATCTCCCTTAGATATTCATTTTAGTCAATTTGTAGTTAATTAAGTATTCTTTTTGTGTCCATTGTTTCACTGGTGGAATATATTTTAAAATGTAATTTTGATACCAGGCGATCATTAATTTCGTCGATTTTATCGATAATATCGAAAAAGCTAAAATAATATAAATGTTTACACATCGTGTTAAAATACAATCAATGCTCGTTTGGTATTTAAAAATATGCCCCAAATATGTTTCTTTAGTGTAACGTTGGGGACTAAAAAGTTAAACAAAACTATTTATTTTTCTCTTCGACTTTTATCATTCCTCTTGCTTGTAAAATCTACGATCAGAGTTACATCGCTCTTCAGATAAATGGAATTAATTCTCTTTGAAGCTTACTGCAAATTTTGATATAAAAATACAATCCAACTCTTCTGTTTCTTCTGAACTTGTGACGTCAATTAACGAAATCATAAATAAAAAACGGCCGCTACAATTTTCTGAATGTCCATTCAAATTCATTTTTGCAATCAATGACTCGCCCATCTGATAGTTTGCCTAATTTTGGTGGAGGCGGTGGGGCTAGTGGCTGGGTTAGTGCTTGTTATCTTTGAAAAACAATAGATTGAATTATGGACGCTGATTACGTCAGCGTTTTCACATTCCAATCTACACAATCAACTCCAACGTCAGATGGATGCTTCACATTCCAAATAAATGTTGTTTGTCGTTAAGTTATCCTTTTCGCCCCGACTGGGAAATGAAATTAAGCTACAGTCACACCTCTTCATTTAACCCTGTCTATTTCATTGGTTCTGTATATATATATATATATATATATATATATATATATATATGTGTGTGTGTGTGTGTGTGTGTGTGTAAAAATATATAGAAAATAGGAAAGAACTCGTTAGGTAAATAATCCAAAGTTCTTTAGTATTTTTGTTATTATTTTTAAAAAATAGTGCTCGATACAGAGCTTAGTACTTTAATTCAATTTAATTCAAATAATTATATTAAAGTTTTCGGCTCTTGTTTTGAAACATGAGAACTCTTATGTCACGCTGGAATCATATTTTTAAATAAATAATTATATATATATATATATATATATATATATATATATATATATATTGTGTGTATTTAGGCAGCACCTTTTCATTTATACACGTTTCATTAAATAATATAATGTTGTAATTGACATATTTGATAATGGCTTATGTAAGCCGAAAGCTTAGACTGTATTAAAAAATATGGATCAATATTGTGAATTTCTTTCTTCGGTCAACGCTAATGTTATTATACTTATCAGACGTTATGAAAAAATTTTACATAAAATAAATAGACAACACTTGTCTATATTATTTAATGAAACGTGTATGAATATATGGCTTTTCATTTTTCATTTCAACTTTTGGAAGTAAAGTCTGATGATCCAGAGCCCTGTTAAAGGGGTTGTGGTGAAATAACTTATTACATGGAACCTTAAAGTGGTCTGTTTTTATTCAAATATATTTGCTCTGAATTTACATTGAGCTCTCTGGATATCATCCTCCTTGGGTCTACCCATACGGATTACCTAGTTTTGCATAAACTATATATATATATATATATATATATATATATATATATATATATATATATATATATTATTTATACATATATATATATATACTGTCAGGGTTTTGAGTTTTTGAAATTTGAAATTTTGTATTTTGAATTTTGAATTTGATTTGAATTTTGAAATTTTCTAAAATAATTAATTTCCTGTAACATAATTCGGTGAAATTTTAATAATAAAAAAAAAATAATGAAGAAAGGTTTCATTCACTTTATTTTTTTTAAAATGTCACCCATAACGCGACATTTGTAAAAGACTGTATAAAAGTATAGTAGTACCATGACTTCCTGGAGCCTTTTATAACTTTATGGAAACTTCTCGAAATTGTTTTTGTTTTATTTGAAAGGATTATCCAATTAAATCATTAGCAAATTAAAAAATAAAGATTCTGCAAGTGTGAATTTTTGGTTTATTTGTAAGTTTGGATATTATGCTATAACTATAAACTGTTAAATGCGTTTAAAATACATAAGAACTATTCAATTATATCATTAGCAAATTGAAAAATAAAACTTCTGCAAGTTTGAAAGTTTGATTTAATTGAACGGAATACTGCTGCTATATTTGGGCAGCGACTGCCCAGTCGTCACTTGACAATTTCGATAGACTCTAAAAGTGTCTCCGAGTTCTTGTGGTGACAAATTATTTTCCACCCTGCAGCCGCTGTCTCACAGAAGAAACGTCGCCAGGATCTCACTGCTCTCTCGTTACTTACAGGCAAAGTGCTCAGACGAACTACTTTAACTACTAATTCTTTATTTCCTCCAGTTTTCACCTTCTCGTCTTGGACCCGCTAAGCTACGTCCATTTTAGAGAACCACCTTCATTCCCTCCGTATTCCATTGATTAGAAGTATGTTCCACTTGAACAGCTTCTTCCCGCGAACCACTGCTTTGTGGAACCGACTCCCAAGTGAGTGCTTTCCCGATGGCTACAATCTTAACCTGTTCAAGTCTAGTGTTAACCATTAACTTTCTCGCATATCCGCATAAATTGTGCCCTTTACTCTGTAACCTTCTACCTATAGTGACCTTGCTAAAACCTCCATTTTTTTTTTTTTTACTAATAATCGTAGATTGCTGTTTGGGTTTTCGCGATAAAAAGCATCAGAAATAAGACGAAACTCAAAATGTATTCTAGAAATACTTTTATAGTGTTTTGACCCCAGTTTCGAGATTAACTATTTTCCCATAGATGAGACCCTAGTAGAGGATACAATCCCTAGTCAGAGTGCATCTGGGAACAACAGCAATTAAGAGATAGTTCTGCGCTCCTCAAAAACTTCTCAAAGGCTTTGCCGCAGGACGAAAAAAAATGATAAGAATATTATTACTAATGCTACTAAATCAAATGCAATTAAAATTGAAATGAACGAAATACTAGTAAAAAATAAGTAACGGTTAACACTACTTCATTTAATAATAAAATTCAAGATAATCGTTAGGTTTTGCCTACTCTCTGGGTAGTAGTAGTCATAGTACAGTTCTTCATGTCTTGAATAGCAACCCGGTTTGCTAGACATATCCACTCTATGTTCGCCAATTGTTCTCTGGTTTTACTTATCTATCTAATTTGCATACGATACTACAATAATATTACAACTAACACCACTAGATGAAAAGCAATTAAAATTAAGATGAAAGAAATACTAGTAAAAATAAGTAATGGTTGACAATACTTCATTTAATAATAACATTCAAGATAATATTACTACTAATACCACTAGATTAAAGGTAATTAAAATTAAGATGAAAGAAATACTAGTAAAATGAATAATGGCTAACAACGCTTCATCTAATAGTAAAATTCAACCTAATATGATTACTTGTGTGAATAAAGCAATTAAAATCCAGATAAAAATATTTAAAAATTAATAACAAAAGCTTAATGCAAAAAATTCGAACAGAATTCATATTGATTTCTTTCTCATAATTGAAATCACCCTACGAATCGGAAAATCTTTGCAGTCTTCGACCTCGTCGGCAGGATGCAAATTAAATGCTTAATTGTTGATAATGAGAGGGAAAATATCTGTCTAACTTTCCGTCTATTCATACCTACCGATCTATCTCTGTTCATAAACCATCTATCTATCTATCTATCTATCTATCTATCTATCTATCTATCTATCTATCTATCTATCTATCTATGTCTGAATTGAAAAAGAAAGAGGGGGAGAATAATGAATAAAATAAAGTAGAATTTTCAAGCAAAGAGTAAATAAGATGGAGGTGAAAAAAAGAAAGGAAGAGAAGAAAGAAATATAAGCAATGTTGATTCAACCAAAAAGGAGGGGAGAAAAAGAGAGATAGGCTAAAAAAAACAGGGGAATAAAAAGAGGGAGAAAAGTAAAGGTAGAGAGGAAGAGATCAGAGAAGATCGAGTGAAAGAAAAATGTGTAAGGGTGGTACAGAAAAGTAACTATTTAGAAAAGGAGAGATGAATGAATAAAAACTGAACAGAAAGAAGAATATAAGATAGATAGATAGATAGAGAGAAAGACAGAGAGAGAAAGCAAGAAGAAAGAAAGATGACGATAAAGAAAGAAAGTATGTTAAAAGAAAGAGAGATGAATGTATAACAAACAATTCAGACAACCCTAAGTAGTCACTATAAATTGGCAGGGAAAGTAGTTCATAAGTAGAAGGCTGGTTAGTCGCAAATGAAAGTAGAACTGATCACGATGGTGGCGTGCGTGTGAAATGGTAGACTATCATCTATATTATTTTCCAGCCGAGTTAGTGCGTCAAATTTTCAACAAAGCCCCTCAGATAAAGTGTATTCAACTTCAGTTCCCGCTTGGTGGAGGCACGATGATTGGCGGAAGGTGTCTGTACCAGTGGGGTTAGTAAGAGGAACACTCATGATGGTAATATCGCCTATTGGTATCCCATTTGGTTATCGCAGGTTGTAGGAGTCCACGAAAGTTACAAAGCTAAAAATCTGATGGACCGTTGATTTTTAAACGATGTGAGAGGATCGTATTTGAGCCGCGATAATTTTTAAATGTCATTAATTACATTCAGTGCGAGAGAAGTGCAAAGCACAATAGGTGTGCATATCAAAATTAAGACCCCTTTAAAATGAATTATGCGGGTATGTTATTGTTATAATAGAGAAACATATACGTAATATATAAAATAATGTAAAAAGCAAGATTTTCTGCAATAATAAATGTATTTTTTTAAATCGAGTCACACCCAACCAAGGCAGTAAAGCCCCTAAGACACAAGGGATTACTTTGTGTGGAAGAATTAGAAAACAGAAACATTACTAAGGAGCGATAACAAAAGAAGATTAATCAGGAAGACAGTAGATAGTGATTGACATTGCATTTTAATTTTTGAAGATTAAATTTAAGTGGAAAGCACGGAGCCAGAAGAGAGTTTTACAAGTGAGAATTGCAGTAGGAAAGAGACTGAACTCAAGACGCCAGATCACGAGCAATAATATTGCTTATTAAAAATTAAAAAAAAAAATCAATCAAGGCTAAAATCCTGGTAGAAGATTTAAAAGTAGGCCTGTACAAAATTTATACCTTGCAAATACGATATTCTAAAAACGTCAAGCTCAGCTATCTGATTCAATATTATAATGAACAGAAAATAAGTATAAGTTATTTTTTTAAGAATTTTAATTATCTTTTTATTAGAAACTAGCAGTAGAGCCCGGCGTTGCCCGGGGATGTAACAGTAAGAGATAGATCAAGTATCGACCATCATAAAGACTGAAAAATAAAATTGACAAAGATTATTGTTTAAGGTTGACGGACACGCATGTCTTAATTAGTTTTTTTTTTTTTTTTTTTACGAATTGGTCAAACCCAAACTCAAACAAAAACATTGTTTTCAATCGTTATGAGCCTACCGATTGAATAGAATTTTATTATAGACAATTGTCTTGTAAATGGAATTTTTAAAGCATTCTGAATGTAAAAATTAAGAAAAAAGTGTGCAAGACAATAAGAAACACTACCTGCCAGAAAAGTGAAGTTTTGTTGAAATCAGTTGAAAATGTAGGAAATCCGATCCCATATATAAACGAACACACACAAACAACCTGGGTTTTATAATAAGTATAACTCGATATGAGTTGTCCCCCTTTCATTCCCCCGATGTCTCTTAATCGTGTTTTCAAATTGATTTCGTGCAAAAACAATTGTGTTTTTCCAATTTTTGGCGCTGTCAGAAACACCGCAAAGTAATTTTACGTAGTCCTGTGAAGTTTTGTTGAAATCGGTTGAAAAATGTAGGAAATCCGATCCAATATATAAACGTACAGACACACACACACACACACACACACACACACACACACACACACACACACACACACACACACACACAACCTGGGTTTTATAATAAGTATGATTATAATAAATTGTTTTGTTTGTGTTTCATAAAATGGCGCCTTTTTTTTACTCTTTTTTGATCATCATTATTTTAAGAGTGTGCGGAATTTTAACTGTACGTTCAAGTATGCAATGAGACAAACAAAAGCTGAAAAAAACATTGTGAATGACAGACATTATCCCGATTTGTATTTTTGTAATACTTTTAAAATTGAATTACTATTCAGAAAATTCAAACTGGTGTGAACAGAAAGAGTTTTATATTCAGTCTTTATTAGTATGACTTTGATATGAGCTCAAAAGTTTTGACAAGGTAAGTTTGTTTGCTACATATACTCTCCAATTCTGCCACCTCTAGACCATCAAGTTCTAGATCTCAATTCGGTATATATAGGCTGGTAATCTTCTGAAGTTCATGCGATCAATGCATGCGTTCCACAATGATACCATTATTTTATGAACATACTCGCAAAAACATAGATGATCGGAGCCTTCAGCTGATATCTTCTCTGATCTAGCTTTAAGAGCTCAATGAGGAAATAACCATCTTGTAACTTTCATTACATCAAATATCAACCTAATATCGGATCTTTATTTATCTCCAGGCATGGGGAATGGTTCTTCTCTCGGGGACGCTCTGTGCGTTGAGAATCTTTTGGTTCCATTTTCACCCCAGACTTAAAGAGCAATGCTTATATCCTATCACCCCAGACTTAAAGGGCTATTTTTATAATCAATCGAATACCAAAGACACTGGGAAAATTTTCGGTTCATTCTATCGTTCTAGGAAGTATCGCATTCGTTCTTCCATATATTACCGTTACAAATGTCACATTAGAGAATTGCTATTATTTTTATTTCCCTGGTACCCTAACTACATGAATTTAAGCGTACTACTAGATTGGCATCGAGGTCCCACCCGTTTACTGTTGGAAAAGCTAAATACAACATCCACTTCTACTCCAACAGTGTCTTTTCTCACTTCGCACCCGTGGAAATCCCTTCAGTTTACTTGCTTCCCTGATAACTGCAATCTTCAAAAATTTAAATGCAACGTCATTCGTCATCTGCTATCTTATTGAAAACCGTTCATCTTTTATCCTTTCCTCAATCCTCCCTATACTCAGTCTTTTCTCTCACTTTCAATCCCAGTAACTCCTTGCGTACTGATGGCATTTCTGGGTTGCTTGAAATGATTATATATATATATATATATATATAAGTTACGAAGAACTTGGTAAATCGAATGGGTAATTCCAAGGAGGATAAAATCCTGAGAGCTCAATGTGAATCCAGAGCTAATATTTAATGAAGAAACAGACCACTTTAAGGTTCCATTACAATAATTTATTTCACCAAAATCCTTTTTGAAGGACTCCGGATGAATTCATTTCGTTGTTGGAAGTGTTACCTGATGATCCGGAGTCCTTCAAAAGGATTTTGGGGAAATAAATTATTGTAATGGTAAATTAAAGTGGTCTGTTTTTCATTATATATATATATATATATATATATATATATATATATATATATATATATATATATAAAAGAAAGAACAGTAAGATATATAATCCGGTGTTCTTATAGATATTTCTATTTTTACAAAATAGTGCTCAATGTAAATTTACAGAGCATTAATATTATAATTAATTGATTTAAATATATGTTTTTTACACAGTTCTAACCATGTTTCAAAAATTTTTGAAATATGGTTAGAACTGTGTAGCGAAAAAAAAATATTTTAAATCAATTAATTCATAATATATATATATATATATATATATATATATATATATATATATATGGGTAGGCGCTTCGTAATCCTCAATTTACAGCGTTGATGATATTCAGAATTGGCATCTTGTTGGTGATGACTTACTTTCTAGACTAGTAACCTCTTTCCCATGGACAAAATGTTGCAAGTCTGCGGCTACTCTCTTGTTATTTCCACGCCAAACGTTTAGATGTCATTCCCTAGTCTGACCAGCGGACCTTTACCTTTATCTATCTACCTATCTATCTATCTATCTATCTATCTATCTCTGTTCATATATCTCTACCTACCTATATATCTATCTCAGCCTTTTTCTATTTATTCCTCTCCGCCTGTTCTATCTATCTATCTATCTATCTATCTATCTATCTAGCGAGATAGCTAGCTATTTCAGTCTGTTCATCTATATCTAACTACCTAAATATCTATCTCAACCTTTTTCTATTTATTCCTCTCCGCCTGTTTTATGTATCTCTGTCTGTTTCTATCTATCTATCTATCTATCTATCTATCTATCTATCTATCTATCTATCTAATGCGTACCGTTAACAAGAAATAAATTAGAAACCTACTCGGGTTCAGGTCCTGCCAGGAAAACGAATGTAAAAGCTTTTCCAATGTTCACACGTCGAGTTGCTATGAATTACGTCGTATTTACACAGACTTGTGAAGAAAAAAGACAGTGGGATGTTTATCTTGAATGCTTAAAAACCATGTCCGAGTCTGACCGGTCGAAATCCCTGGCTTTTATTTTCGACCGTGTGTCAATGTGACATCTGGGCGCTGAACTTGCCCTCCAAGTAACAGGGAAAAGCAATTCCTGTTTGTTCTTGTTCACCGGATACCCGAACTGTCGGCGAAGGTACTTGGAAGGCCATTAATCCTCTAATGGTACTAAGATGGTACAAATTACCGGTTTCCGTAGGCGGGAAAAGAGACAAGAAGGAGGAAAAGGAATGAGAGTGGAAGCGGGAAGGAAGGGGAGGAGGAAGGGGATGAAAAAAAAAGGATGAAATTAACCTAAAAATTTCAAAGG